ATCAATTTATATTTTGTAAATTATTATTTTTTCATATTTTTATTAGGTGCGTCTCACTAAGATGTACACACGTTACAAATTTCATATCATTCCGATTAGTAAAAAAAAATGAAACTTAAAACACTACTGGACAACTGTAACCATGCGATGAAGTTTGGATGGTAATGAAGGTATGCTAAATCACTGTTCATTTTTACCTATAAGTGTTTTGCAGTATCTTCTTATATATATATATATTTAAATTTTATTAAAAATTAAATGTTTGTTTTTATTTAAAATTTATCAATAAATTTAATTTCTTCTAATGCTTCAATAGGAGCATCATCCAATGAAAGTGCCATTAGTATTGGCCATGGGTCTGGCACCCCAAATATCTCAATAGGAGTACTATAGTGCCATTAGTATTGGCCATGGGTATGGCTCCCCAAATATCTCAATAGGAATACCATACAATCCAAGTGCCACTAGAGCTGGCAATGACCAAGGCGACCGGGTCGGGCACTAGGGCTTGGGCCCCCAAATGTGGCATGAGGACCAGGCCACTACAGGGCTTGCCCAATTCAAGCCAACCCATGTTTTTGTCCGTTTAATTTTATTTCTTTTTGGCTCTATTAGGCATGGCCCAGTTATGGCGTCTTGCAATTTGGTGCCAGTCTTATTCAGGAGTAGCCTAGGGCTAGAGTAGGGCCCACCCCCCTTTTCAGCCCTAAGTTCCATCGTGAATGCAACATATAGCAATTGCATTGGTTATCAGGACATACATGGTAGGGCTGAGAATGGGTCGAATCGGGTTCAGATCCATCGAGATTCGGATTTGGATTAAAAGTATACATGGGACATGATATGGATGCAGACCCAATTATATCCATAATATTCGGATCTGGTTAAGATCCAAAAAGTATACATAGGATCTGGATACCATAGGATCTGGATCCCATAGGATCTGGATCCCATCGGATCCAAAAAAATTATTTTATATATTACTTTATACAACCAAAAAATACTATAAATAAAAATATTATACATTATATATTTTTGTTTATATATAAAATAATATTTAATATTTTAATAACCGGGTTTGATCCAGATTGGATCCACCTGTACCCAGATCCAACCCATCAGATCCAAATCTTGAACCCATTTACGGATCCAAATTGGGTCAGAAATTTGGGTTTCGGGTTGGGTCGGATAAATGCTCCACCCTAATACATGGAATGTCAAGAAAAGCGAGAATGCAACGAATATCTGTACATCCATTTGAGTTTGAAGTTATCCAGAATTACAATGTGTATCCCACTGAAATTCCCATTGAGAGCATATGTGCATGTGGTAAATGTATTTTTTACACGGACTACGATATGTTACAAGACACCACGGACTTGTCGTTACCAAGGTCATCAGGGCCATCAATTGTTTAGACAGTGATGGAGAGAGTGGACCCAACATCAAAGTTGTATCATGTTCTCGTCGAATCCTCTGCGATTATTGAAATGTGCGGTGATCTATGTCCGCATGTCCTAACTGGTCATGAGGATCACAATATAGCCTACCTATAGCCTATTCACTTGTCCTTCTCTTTCTTTCAGTTTGGTAAGGTTGCATTCGAGCCTCAACCTCAAGGTTCCAAGCATGAACATCTTGTACCGTAGGAGAGCTGTGCTATGTCGAATTAGATGAAAACGCATACAGAAGCACATATATAAACATTTATTAGAATCCACATATATATATATAAATGTTTACCCCGTAGGCATGCATGCATAAATGACATTTTCTTGCTAATGGTACTTGCAGATCCTATGTCAGAAAGTAGAGTGAAGAGTACAGCAGATTCACCTTATGTCCCAAGGGACGAAGCATTCTCGGCATTGAAACAGGCACAATTCACATTGAAGACCTTGAAATCCGTCCTACACGCGCTTATCCCTGGTGTCGAGGCTCTTGTAGTAGACAAAAACATGGGCTTCGACTTCTTCACAGATATTGATCTCCTCTTCAAAAAGGGGGTTGAATTCCAAAGGAAAGATGGGGATGGTAACGTACTGAGCTCTTTGCTCCTCCCGAGGCTTTTGAAGGCGGTCGCAAAGGGAGGAAGCGAACTCTTGCAATTCGAGATTCCAGCCATTATGGATCGTAAGTCCATCGTCCATATCTTCTTCTCAAGTCTCCTCATAGTAGATTTTCAGGTTAGTGTCAATTTTGCTAGCTTTAGTTTTAGTGGTTTTTATAAGGGATTTAGTATGAATATAAGAGCATGTACTGTGCTTCCATTGAATCATGATACACTTACTCCCTCGAGCAAAAACTGTTACGAGGATTTCCTTGATTTCAATTTTTCAATAAGTGGTTTGAAATATGGTGTAGGTGAAATTATCCATATTCTCACCAAAACAGCAGAAAGGAGATGGAAAAAGGGGGGAGGGGAGAATGGTATTTTAGTTTTTCAACAAAATCATCCATTTTTTAAAAACAGATGCTTCTTGATTTTGGTAAAAAATTGTTCACTTCAGTAAGACAAACTTCGCGATTCATAGCAATTCTGGTCCACTCATTCGAGCCAGTTCAGAGTTAGTGACCAACCATGTCTGATCCGGATTATAAATTTTTTATTGGCCTGTTTTAGATATGGAAAAAGTTTTATATAGAGCCGAGGCTCTAAACAATCAAATTATAGCCCACCTCAAGAATTTCACTATTAGAGGTTGTTTTGATGCCCAAATATCCTCAAATTGATCATCTTGATATCAAGATACGTGGACATGAGAAAAAAATGGATTTCAAGTACTAGAATTAGTGCATCTTATAATGTATTTTGGACCGTTAATTTTCAAGTTCTCAGGGATCTACTCAATCTACACTATTTTTTAAGCTTTAAATTTTATAAATTAAGATGAAAAAATATTTTAAGGCTATTACAAAGATTTTCTAGTATTGAAACCACATTTCTCGATACAATTTGAAGGTGCGCTTTACTTTGATTGTTTAGAGCCTCGGCTCTATGCAAACCACACCCTTTAGATATTCCAGGAAATAAAACGGAAACAGGGAATCAAGCATAAGCTTAGCAAGTGAGCAACCCTAATTCTTTCTCTTTCTCATCCGGATTTGCTCATAGAGAGTTTTTAACGGTGGTGGAGTATTGAAAATGTAATTATTTCATTTTTCTTGTGAGATTTAGAATAATTTAATTTTTGTTGATAGAGTTTTCATAATTATAGGGGACAAGTTTTCGTGGATGCGCGATGAGGAATTTGCACGTCAAACAATTGCTGGGATCAACCCATATGGAATTCAATTGGTTAAGGTAAGAACTCAAATTTAAAATGTATCATTTCAAATTGAAATTGTTGTCTAAATCTCCCAAATATATAGAGTTTATGTAAATTAACTTTTAGAAATCCTTTAATTTCATTCAGAATTATTGCATAACTTATTTAAGACAAATAGGGGTCACTCTGACCAGGGATAAAAAAAAAAAAGAAAAAAAAGAAGTAGAAGGTTTATCAAAATTCGAGGCATTGAAAAACCCAATATTCCGCAGGGTTTCCTTGAAGGCTAATATGAGCTTATTTGGAGTTTCAAAAACGTTCTTTTGAATTTAAGCAAAGGTGATACACAATTTTATAAAGTATTATCAGGATCAAACCAACCAACCAATGGGTAAGGGGTCTAATCTAGTTCAAATTGGTCCCGCCATTAGTCCTAGTATTTGGAACTAATTTTGAAAAAATAAAATAGTAATAATAGTTTAAAATATAAAATATATTTAAAAAATTTGTGCAACTTTATTTAGCCGATCCAATCGGTTAAATCAGTTGGAGCGGCCAAAACCAATCAAACATTGATTTTAATAAATTTTCAACCAACTCAATTTTTGTTTTAAGACACCATTCTACAGTTCAACCGGATAGATTGGCAGGTTTGATTAGCCATGTTAACAATAGATAAACGCCCTTGGATGTATAATACCAGGTTGTATAAAACCAAGTTTCAATCGGCCTTATGCTTCTCATCTCTCTTAAGCATGCTAGAGTAATATTTCCCTTTAAGGGTCGTTTGGGTACCTGAAAATGTATTACATGACAATATATTACAAGAAAATATCATGTTTTCCACTGTTTGGGTACACTTTAATAGTAAATAAATGGAAAGAGATAACTGATATTACCCGAGATTTTCCTAAAAATCACAAAACCAATTCGGAGCGGTGAGAGGTGAAAAATCTATTATGCATATTAACGGGTAATCTTTCATGCTCATCTCTCTGCCCTATCCCCGCTAAAAAAAGCCAACCTGCCTCTCTACCTGCCTCTCTCTCCTAATAACTGGTTTTCATGTGCTGCCTCCCGCCCCTCTCTCTCCTAATAACTAGTTTGGATGTGCTCCCTCCCTCTCTAAGCCCTCACCCTCTCTTTTGTGCCTTAATAACTGGTTTTCATAAGATGCTCCTTCTCTCTTTAACAAATTATTTTGGTATGAATAAGTCCTACCTCTTTAGTCTTCAAAATTTTCTGCTGCAATTATCGAACCTTTTAGTTTCCTAATCAAACTTTTTCCCATTTTTCAACTTCTAATTTTCTACTGCAATTACCAAACCTTCTAGTTTCCTAATCAAACTTTTTTCCCATTTTTCAACTTCTACCATAAAGATTTTGAATTTGGTATCATAAATTTATTGCTTATTTGAAATTATATAGAGACATTTAAAAGACTTCTATAAAAAATAAATATAAATAAAATTTATCACGATAAAAATATATTATTCCAATGACTTATCACGTTGAAACCAAAGTCTAACATGTTAGAAGACATGTAATTCCATGTAAGTGCCAAAGGCATGCAAAATAAGTAGGAAATTGTGTGATGATGACTTTAAAATGGTACAAATTATTATTAAAAGGTTTTTTAGGAATGGTGATGATGTTATTATTAGAAAATCATTTTGAAATGGTATGATGATGACTTTAATTCCGCATTTCAGTAGAATTTTGTGTCAAAAAAAAAAGATATGATAGTTTATAGGCAACTGCTGGTAAAATATTGGTAATACATTTCCTATATTTCTTCAAGACATAGCCAAACGGTAATAATGTATTTCCCAGTTTCATATAATTACTACCCAAACAGTAACACTCCATTTGCAGGTAATTTATTACGTAGTAATGTATTACGCCAGTAATATATTTTATAGACAATATATTTCCAGGTATCCAAACGGCCCCTTAGTGTACACACTTCTTCTACTTTGGCCGTGACATCCGAGACGTTTGAAGCCATAAATTGTTTGTGATTCAAAAGAAAAAAAAAAAAAAAAGAGAAAAAAGGAAAGAAAAGTGCTTACAAGAAGATAATATACTTTTGATAGAAAGATATTACAATCATCTAGAACTATTAGATGTGAAATCCGGTGGCTTGAGTTTGTGCCTTTGATTGGGCGCAAAGCTTCAAAAGAAATTTCTACGACTTTAAAACACGTCCCAAGTTCTTGGATTCTATAACTCATGGCCAATATTGATTTTTACGTTCTTGTTCCAAGTATAAATGGTCTCTAGGGGTGGCAATAGGTCGGACCCAGACTCAGATCCGGACACAAATAGTATTCAGGTCCAGGTTTTGGACCCGGACCTGACCTTTTGGGACCAATATTTGAACCCATACACAGACACTAGGTCGGGTCTACTTGTCGGTTGCTAGGTTTGGTCGGGTCCATTGCCACTCCTCTGTTTATGTGGGATATGTGGGCTATAACTATGAGCTTCTTTTGCTGTTTTTTTCCTTGTTTTTACCATCATATACCCATATTATTGACAATATTTACAGCATTGTACAATATTTATGAATACCCACATATGCCCACATTGCTTACTATGTTATGTAATAACTAGAAATTCCTAAAAAACATATGTATTGGTAGCATTTATGGATACCTACATACACCCGTATTATTCGGGTCGGGTCTAGCTGAACCGGGATCAGAATAATATCCAGGACCCCAAATGGTATTCGGGATCCATACCCAAACCCGAGGTCGGGTCTACCCATTGGTCCTGAGCCTGATGGGGTCCATTGCCACACCTAATAGTGTTGTAGTATACAATCCCTTTAAAAACTCATTCTAACCTCTAATTGCTAAAGGTAAGCTAAGTTTAATGGCGATGACAAAAAAACAAAAAAGGAATATTTCTTAATACCACAAAAATGCCCATACTTATTGACTATATTGGTGCAGGAATTTCCCTTTGTGAGCACATTGGACCCGAAGAAATACGGCCCAACTGAATCTGCAATAACGAAGGAAGTCATTGAGCGAGAAATAAAAGGAGTCATGACAGTTGAAGAGGTAAATAGTAGTGTATACTGCATATTCAATAAGTAATATGAATGAAAGCAAAATAGAATGCATATAACCGGCTTTCTTAAGTAATATTTTGGTAATTAAAATCTAGGAAATGATTCATAAGGTCATGCCCTACAAGATTCTTATAGGACCTTGATGTATATCGTCGATCTCTTTCTCTGTGAAGTATCTCCCATCATCCATCAAAAGGACTTTTGGATCATCTTCACTCTCAGTGGTAGGGATCTGATTGTGGAGATTGAGATCCTACATAAATCCTGTAGGATAGGGTCGTACAGGATGATTTCGACCCCTAAATTGAGTGTGTTCTATGTTGATGTTTGAGACTCGCAATGTGGTTTAGTTATATTTTGATTTGAAGGATTTTTAGCATCAAATGCATATATCTAAGTACATGCATGCATGAGTGGGATTCCAGGCGGTGGCACGGAAGAAGCTGTTTGTTCTAGACTACCACGACATACTCATGCCTTACGTGAACAAGGTGCGGGCTCTAGAGGGGACAACCCTCTATGCCTCCCGGACTGTCTTCTTCATCACCCACTTAGGCACCCTACAACCGGTGGCCATTGAGCTTGCAAGGCCACTCTCTGAGAGTGACGATGCCTGGCGCAAGGTGTTTACGCAGGGAATTGATCACACGACCGCGTGGGTGTGGAAGTTGGCCAAATGCCATGTTGCTGCACATGACTCTGGCATTCACCAGCTAGTCTCACACTGGTAGGCCATAAGTGAACTTCATGGATTCTGATCGTATTCCCGGTGTTCAATTAGAAAGTATGCTATGGTCCATATGACCAGTAAAATGCTACGGTTAATGAACGCTATCCAATCAATTGATAGACAATGATGATGAGCGGGTTCCATGAGAACGTGATGCGACCCTAATGATAGGTTCCATTGTCTCAACATCACCGTCTATCAAATGAAATGAATTGTGGTGATAACACTTAGGATCACGACTTTTCTTATGAACTAGCAAGAGGCACATGACATTGCATGTTTCTAAATTTTAAAAATTTTATGCCAAAAAATTCCCTAAAATTGGAGATTATGGATTAATTCTCTAGTAAAGTTAATAATTATCGAAACAGGATAAAATATTTATTAAAGGGAGAGCTACTTTTTCAATTGCATTTCTTGTTACATATTTTTAATTAAGTTACCAACGAAATGTTTATTACAGGATGAAATGGAAATTGAATACGATTAACAAGTAGGATAAACTCTGCCTTTGTGGAGCCCCAACCAACCTACCATAAAGTCTCTATCTACAGGGTCCTCTAGGCCATATGTCCCTACCCTTAACAAAGGCTTAATATATGTAGAACATATAGAAACTTGTCAAATTCACTTGTTAGTTCTTTAGTTTTTTAGAATGTGTCATAATCTTGAAGCAACCCAAACGGTAGGATTCTTACCATACTCTATTTATTTGTGAACCTTTGACTCCTAAACTTGTTAACGATCTCCTTGCTTTGTGTTATTTTTCAGAAGCTTGCCATTGTAGTAAATAAACTGATGTGTGTGAGGTTTGGATGGGTCGTGCTGAACCCTTCCTGGTTCGATCCTTCTTCAATGCAGACTAGGACCTAATCCTGGTCTGATTCATGTCAGGTGGCCCCGGATTTAAGTTGTTGAGTCCAACAGGCAGGTCTAGATCCAAACCTAGGTCTGGTACTCTGGTCATTTATCACCCCGACCTAAACTTATATATAGTAACGATAGATGCATGTACTACTTGTAAGTTCTTAATTTTTTATGTACAGAATATCCCTTCGAACATTTTCCGGGACTTGGCCTTTCCCGTTCTAAATGGATCAAAGCACTCCTTATCTTTTGCAGGTTGAGGACACACTGTTGCTGTGAGCCATACGTGATCGCGGCTAACCGTCAACTGAGTGCCATGCACCCAATATATAGGCTGCTGCAACCCCACTTCCGATACACGATGGAGATCAATGGCCTAGCTCGGCAGAGCCTGATCAACGCAAATGGGATCATTGAGTCGTGCTTCTCGCCTGGGATGTACTCCATGGAACTTAGTTCATATGCTTACGATTTGACATGGCGTTTCGACAAGGAGGCCTTGCCTGCAGATCTCATTAATAGGTAACATGGATGGGGCAAAACAAGCAAATATTCAAAGTGGGGAGAGGGGGTGTATTACCCTCATGCTTTCCATTTGCGTGACTATATGTTAACCTTCGCTGGATTTTCAGCTATCTATGCACCCTTTGTCACACACTCATAAATGATTTTTGAAAAGTATTGTGTTTCTAGCTGTAAATTAATTTTTAAATAGATTTTAAACACAGTACACAAGGTTGGGGCTTACCCACATTGCATAGTGGGGGCATCAATCAACCGACTGCTAAGGCTCATCTCCACCGTCCATTTAAGGAACGAGTCTCATTGTTTTATACTATTCGATCCCTCATAGAATTTGTAAATTATGGTCTTTAGGTATGCAGTTGTAATGTGAGTTTGACATAAAGAATGATGTAGATTTTGTTTTTCTCATACAGAGGGTTGGCCGAGGAAGATCCGACAGCGGAGCATGGCCTCAAGCTTGTGATTGAGGACTACCCTTTTGCTAATGACGGCCTCCTTATATGGTCTGCGATAAAGCAATGGGTCACAGACTACGTTTCCTACTACTACTCCGACCCTGGCTCAGTGCGATCCGACACTGAGCTCCAGGCTTTTTGGGAAGAAGTGAGAACCAAGGGCCACGAAGACAAGAAAAATGAGGCCTGGTGGCCCGTATTGAAAACCAATGATGACCTCATTCAAGTTCTAACCACCATCATGTGGGTGGTTAGCGGTCACCATGCCGCTGTAAATTTCGGTCAGTACCCTTATGGGGGCTACTTCCCCAACCGCCCAACTATTGCTAGGAACAATTTGCCAGTAGAGGATGAGGGTTGCGATGAGTTCCGGAGATTCATCGAGAAACCAGAAGTAGCATTGTTGTCAACTTTTCCTTCTCAACTCCAAGCAGCAAAGGTGATGACTGTACTAGATGTGTTATCCTCTCACTCTCCAGAGGAGGAGTATCTGGGTGATCAGGTGGAGCCTGAATGGGCCTTAGTGCCAGAAATTAGGGCAGCTTTCGAGAAGTTTAATGGTAGGATGAAGGAGATAGAGGGTATCATAGACCAGAGGAACACTGATCTTGAATTGAGGAACCGAACAGGCGCCGGCGTGGTGCCATATGAGCTCTTGAAGCCCTTCTCTGAGCCTGGAGTCACTGGAAAGGGTGTCCCAACTAGCATTTCCATATAGAGGTTGAGCTTTTGGTCATTGAGGTTCAGTTTCCTTCAGTTCGAACCTTTTTTAGCCTCGTGATTTATGGTACTCGTAAGGGAGAAGGAATAAGGAAGAAGAAAAGAAAAAAGAAGAAAACCTAACCAAGGGCTATAATCCTTTTCAACTGTACTCTCTATGGTAGGTGTCTGTTTGCAATTTGTACTTATAGAGTTTCTAGCTAATGAATATGCACTTCACTTTTTGCATTGAATCTCTTTTTCTATTGATTTGGGAACAGAGCATGTATTGGTATCCCTCTGTACTCCCAATGCAAATAGTCCTCTGAATATTGTCTACTACATGATGTAGAGGGTCTACTTTTAAAGAAATGCTTTTTGAATTCTTTGTAAACACTTTTCAAGACATTTCAAAGAAACTCAAAAGGTTTCATGAGTTACCCCTAAAATGCTCCTAATAATTATTGGGCATTCACAAATGGTTTTAAATGAACTAAGCAGGAGCTTGGAGTTGATGTTTAAAGTTTCAATATCAATTCCCTGCTCTTGGAGAAAAGGCAAAGAAATTCAATAAAATATCTAAAGGTTTGGACCGATCTTTCTCAATGGCAATTCCATTCCTCCATCTAAAACACTTAAAAGCTGCTTAAATCTGTGTCGAACAAATTGCGAACTCCAAAAGCTTTTCAACAAGCCTATGAACATTAAAATACAACGGAGGGCAGATTTATAAACAATACGATTCAATAGAGAGAATAAACTTAGTTAGAGGGTTTCTTCTTCAAAAGAAATACCAGAAAGAATGCTTGCTAACTGTCATTCCAAGGGGTTGTTTTTCACTAGTTTTGCGGCCTCCATTTGAAGTTGAGTTCTTTTGTGAACTAGGCAAGACAAGTTGGGCGATGTCCTTCAATATTATTCATATACTTAAGCGAGTTTAATTTATCAATTCGGAAATGCAGTAACAGCAGAAAATCATAACCAGTAAATTAAATATTTGTATTACTTGTCCTGTGTTTGTGTATGCTTGTGTGCGGCAAAGAGAAAGAGAGAGGGAAGGGGAGACTTTTGATGCCGTATAAAAATTATCTGTATAAATGCTTCATAATTATATATTTAGTACAAAGAATAAATGACTAGCCCCTACAATCACCCCTCCAATACCAAGAAAAGGAAAACAAATAAAGAAACAAAAAACAATAATAAAAAGTGAACTAATATACCAATTCCAACCATGTTCACTGGCTCCATACTTTCTCAGCTAACAACTCAAAGAAAAGTAGCCCGAATAGTCATATGCATCAAACTTCGGAGCCTTCATATCCAACCAATTCATCTTCCTTGTGCAAACAACTGCATTATTTTCTCCTTCGCAACAGCCTCCATGCATACATGAATACAAGAAGCGCTCATTGTCTAATATTCCAACTCAGTGCGCAGAAAATCAACTTGGCCAAAGTACTAGGCCCTTGGCTGAGCCAGTAACTCGGCCGAGTTAGGTACATCACATGAAAAAGAAGAGCTAGAAGAAGGGGTAAAAAATATCCAAAATATCTTTAAAAATCAGAGAAAGTTAAAAGGATTAATAGAATAATTAGGAGATTAGATAAGATGAAAAAAAAGCTATAAAAGATGGATTATTGAAAAAATGGACTTTATACCTTGAATATTTAAAAAAAAAATCAGAGAAAGGGAAAAATATGCAAGTTTTTCCATTATGCTAGTGTATCCTTATGTTTTATGGCTTTTGCATTTTTATACATTTTTTGGTATTTATTTGGGCCTGCTGAGCTGTACACCTAAGTCGCCAAGAAGTCACCTAGGCCATCGGGTAAGCCCGAGTCGCTCAGCCCGAGTTACTCAGTCGAGTCACCTGGTCCAAGTGGCACTAACTCCAAAACAAATTGATCTAAGAACCTAATTCTCAAGCTCAAATTGCAATTATATGAATCTAATATGCTGTTGAGACATGCAAAAGCATGTGCAATTGCTCAAACCAATGCACGTGCAGGCATCCATGCATGTACATCCAAGATCAAGTAATCCATTTTCAATTTCATGTATTTGTCATAAGTACAATGGAGAACATAAAAAGGAAAAGCTAGAAGAGTAGCTGATACTCATGATGGCCGTTAGGACATCACCATAGGAAAAGGCATGCATTCATTTAGAGATATTTCCTAGGGAAAGTGTAATGTAATATCGTAGTCCTAAGGCCATGACCTTCCATTGAAATGATGGAAGGTGATGAGGATAGAGCCGAGTGAAGCAATGAGATGTTTATTTTATTTACAGATTTTGCCCGGAATTCCAAGTTTTGCCCATGGTTTTTGTAGCTTTATATCCACCATTGATTCAAATACGTTTGCTTAGGGAACTGACTAATCAGATGCTTATTATGCCAATTTGGCATAGTCTGCGGCCAAATTTCTTCCATAAATTGGTGTAGAAACGAAAGACGATCATATTGCTTAAACCCAATCCAAAAACTCAAAAACAATTCTTTTTTTAAAAAAAAAAAGAAGGAAAGTTAAGTCTACGTATAAGGATCAAGACCACAAGATAAGCATTTACTACTCCAAAAACACAAAATCCATCAAATACCGGTAATTCTTCTTAACCATGTCAAGCACAATAACGAAGCAAATCAATAGAACTGTTGAATCAGATTGATCAGAGCAGTTGTTTCAGATAAGCAAATACCCCAAAATTGCAGAGATGCAGTTGTAATTGTAGATTTGGGAAAGTGGGTCCCTGCAACTGATATGGGTATTAAAGAGAGGGGTGAGAAAGAGACGGAGTTTTGAGAGAGATACGGAGTTTTGAGACGGAATTTAGAGAGAGAGAGATGGCATAAGATAAGGGACCTTAGGTTTTAGATGAAAGTCATTTATGAGAGAGAGATACGGAGTTTTGAAAGAGATAGAGATGGAGTCAGTTTATCAAATTTCGAAGTTAATAATAGAGGGTCAAAGGGGTAAGAAGAAAGAAAAGATCGATATTTTCTGTAAAAAAATATTTTAAATTTTTAAGTCTCTTGATAAATGGAAGCCAAAAAAATAAACGGCACGGAGATATTTTCCTCTTTAAAAAACGGGGTAACATGTTTGATTTGCGTGGTAAGATCGGACGGTCCAAATTTTAGGGCCTGGAAAGCAACAAATGCATACCTCAACACACAAAACACTTCTCCTTTGAATAATTTATCATTTTCAAGTAAATGACATGTTTAAATATTTGTAAACGTAGTCATCACATTTTTCATGGGAAATTTAGCCTAAAACATCTTTTTTTTCTAAATGAATTTGATATAATTGTAGGGTACAAGTTCTCTTGGATGCGAGATGATGAATTTTCACGTCAAACAGGAATCAATCCGTATTCCCATGAATTGGTTAAGGTATGACCTCAAATTCGAATTTCCTCTTGCTATCATCAAAGTGAATTTTTTAAAGAAAGGGACAAAAAAGTTTCAAAATCTTTTCTTTTTTTTGGGTGAGTCCGTGGGGAGAGGGCCTCCACCGTTCGTAGGAATTGAGTCTAAGATTGTAGTGTTACAAATCGTCAAAAACTAATCAATTAAGCCCCAACTCTTTCCCTAAAAAAAATTCGAAATCTCCCTTTTCAAAAACAAACTATTGTCCAAAATCTTCCTTATATACTTTATTGACTATTTTGGTCCAAGAATTTCCCTTTGTGAGCACATTGGTAGAATTATGAAATAGCTGGGCCTGGCCGAGGTTTTAGCTTTAATGAAAGGGACAACGCTCTTTGATGAAAGGGACAAGCCTTATCGTTTTGGGCCAAACCTGGGCCGGGGCTGGGGATCCTAGCCCCGAGGTCAGCCTTGCCAACTCGGGCCGGGGCCCCTTGGTCCTCTACATACATTATTCATATTGAACCCTCCATCTCGATTGCCAATCCTTAGCCCAATTGGGGGACATTCCCCAATTCTCTCAACAATATCCATCACTTCCCATCATCATCTCCATTATCAGTGGTAGGTGGAGATTGAGATCCTATATTAGTCCTTTGTGTAGTCCTAAAGGATGATGCCTTCACTATTGGTCCTTTGTGTAGTCCTAAAGGATGATGCCTTCACTAAATTGAGTGTGTTCTAGCGGTTGCTCGAGACTCACCCCATCTATGAAGTTGGAGATTTTAATTATTCCTCAATTTTAAGGAGTTTTAGCATCAAATCCATATCTCTAAGTGAACGCATGCACATGCGTGGGATCTAGGCGGTTGCGCAAAAGAAAATGTATGTTCTGGACTACCACGACATACGCATGCCTTACGTTAACAAGTTGAATGATCTAGAGGGGACCTTCTACGTGTCCCGGACGGTCTTCTTCCTCACCCACTTGGGCACCCTACAACCGGTGCCCATCGAGCTCACGAGGCCACGCTCGGAGAATGAGGATGCCTGGCGTGAAGTGTTTGTGGATGGCCTCGATCACACAACCGCATGGCTGTGGAAGTTAGCCAAATCCCAATTTGCTGCACATGACTCCGGCATTCATCAGCTAGTCTCACGCTGGTAGAGGCCATTATTTTAACTCACCGAATTTCGATCGTATTTTCCTTTGTTTATTTTGAAATTGTACCATGCTCCATTAAGCCATTCAAAAGTTGAGGTTATTTATATTTTATGGCCATCCGATCAACTGATGCACAATGATGAAGAGCAGAGCAGGTTTCATGAGGCCATGACAGTAACTTATTGGACGGTCTCATGCCCTTACCGTCATCGTCCATCAATTGAATGATGGTGATAACATTTAGGAACACAGGTTTTCTCATAATATAATGTACTTGTCTAATTCTCATGCTAGTACTGTTTATCTTTTAGCATGCGACATACAATCCCACGTTATTAATAGGTGAACCTTAGAGTGCCAGGTATTGTTTCAAGGAAAAAGTTATATACAAGTGTGAGGCTCTAAAATATCAAATTAAGGCGCACCTCAAAAATCTCAGTAGAAAATGTTGTTTTGATGCTCAAATATATTCAAATTGATAATCTTGATTTCAAGATGCATGGACATGAGTAAAAATTGGATTTCACGTTTTGAAAATAATGCATCTTGTAAAGTATTCTTGGACCGTCAACTTTCAAGATTTTTAAGTTTTCATAGATATGCTCGATATACATTATTTTTTAAGATTTAAGTTTTATAATTAGGGATGAAAACATATTTTAAGGCTATTACAAAGATTTCTAGTAGTGAAACCACATTTCACAATACTATTT